ATTAAATCTCCACTTAATATATATAACACTGCTACAAGTAGAACTCTCTTGTTTGACACAGAGCTCTGTCTCTCTTAGCGTGGCGTTGTCTTTCCGTGAAGCTGGCGTGCAGCTGGTTACTCTACTCCGCTGGCGCGCAGGGGTGCCTCGGCGGCAAGTTTTCCACTACTAGCTGGTTACTCAAATCCGCTGGCGCGCAGGCGTGCCTCGGCGGCAAGTTTTCCACTTCTTCCCCTCTCCACTCCATTCGGCGCTCCCTTAGGGCCTCGCCACACCACTCTTGAAACGGGGAAATTTTTCAAGAGCTGTCAGACGTTCTCAAGAGTTGGGTTTTCAAGAGTTTCGGGCCCCTCGCCACACAGCACTCTCGAAAGGGCGATGGTGTTCGACAAACGATGAAAAAGGACAGTCATACAGCTTTGTTTTTTCCGAATGGCGTCAGGATAACGGCCTGACACCTCTCGAAAATCAAGGGCCCTTTGAGTGCCCTCCTTGAAAAGAGCGGTGCTGCAGGCTGGGCGATTCGGAGTTTCGAGTGCTACTCTTGAAACGAGGTTCTGACAACTCTCGAAAGAGTTTTCGCACTACAACTCTCAAGTGGCTGTGTGGGGACGCGTCCAACTCTTGAAAACGCGGTTGCAAGAGTGGTGTGGCGAGGGCTTACTGGCGGACTGGGCAAACAACGTTTGGGTACAGAGATTGATCGTGTATCAAGATGGGGTGTAGCCCGCACAACAACAAGGGAAACAGGAAGGCTATCACTGCACAAAACGGCGAAAAGGACAAGATTCCTCAGCAAACTTTAAGGTGTAGATTTGTTTGATTCACGCTGAGCTCAGAGCCCTGGAGAATGGCACCTAGGAGAAGGGGCTTCGAATCAATGACGATCTCCCTGGCTTGGGCCAGCTCTATTGCGTCCATTGCGACCGGTTCTTCGGGTGTGCTGCAATTCGACAGGAGCACTACAAGTCCAAGCCACATAAAAATAGGGCAAAGGTGATGAAAGGTCCGGCACCTCACTCACAGGCAGACACTGACTGGGCTGGGGGAATGGGGGCTCCTGATAATGGACCAAGGCTGTGGCCGTCAGAGGTGGCAGTTTCCATCGCCATGTGAGCCTTGCCCAAATTTTTTTTTTTTTTTTTTTTTTTTTTGGAAGCCTTGCTCGTAATAACCGAGATGATCGTGCAGCCATTTTTTTTGGTTAAGCAATCAAGATGTCCACAGC